TTCATAAGAAAATGTTTTATTCAAGGCATAACTGTCACTTTATGCAGTTGTATATATTAATTATATATTTTTTATTTTTTGTTGTTAAGCTGTTTTAATGTATTTTATTGAATTTGACCTCAGACAGTTAGACCATTGGACAAAAAACTATCAGTACAATTAATTTTATTAATTTAATTAGTAAATTTAAGAATGAGTTTAAGATTTGTTTTAATATAATTAAATTAACTGGGCACAAATTTGTCTTTACCTCCCTCATCTGTACTTGGTTAATTGCAAAATTGAATATAAATGGAGATGCTTTTTTTTTTGGTACTGCCTTGTGATTAAACTATTTATTTATTTGAAAATACTACAGTAAATATAATATTAAAAAATAAATTTAAATTTAAAAACATTTTAATAACATTTGGTTTGCACACAAGATTGCAGTCCTATAAACCATGTAAATATATATTGCTCTGTACAGACAACAGTGACTGTTTGGTTGAAACAAAAGTCACTCTTATAAACTATTTTGTTGTAAATACATGAATGTCGAGAATTTTTACCAAAAAGCTAAAAAATATTGAGATACAGCTATTTTTGGCTATAACACCCAGCCCTTGGTATAAAATACTAAACGAGTGAATCACACACATAGTGAGTAATTGTGGCCACATGTTGCATAACAGTGTTGCACAAACAACATTGCTTCTCCATGTACTGTGTGCATGTGCTTCCACTGTGTGGATATACTACATCTTGTTTTACAAGCAAATTTAGTTGATTTACAATCATAGGACACCGTATTTTAATGGTATTCCTATCCTGATATCAGGTTAATGAATTGCACAATATTTGCACTCACTCACTCACTCACTCACTCACTTTGAACCCTGTGCATCAGAGATCTGGAAGAGCAGCTTTATTGTTGGAAGGCTCTCAGTTGCCTGTGGAGGTAAGAGAACGGAGAGATGAATGAGCGCTCTGTTGCTGTCTAGACTCTGTGGTGACTGAGAGGCATCAATCTGCCTCAGTGTTTGATGATTTTTCACAGTTTACACCTGAGGTATATGCACACACACAGACCCACCCAGGAACAGACACCATGAGGTTCGTGTGAACAAACACACACTTTCTCAGAAAGACTGTAATCTGTCATGTCGCCACTGAGGGAAACACACATCAAATACACGAGGAATGACTTGACGAAAGAGCGAGGATCAGGGATAGTATAGTTTTGAAAAGTTCATCGTTTTGATTTTATTTTAGTTCTATTTAATAAAAAAAATACTACTTAGTGGTCTTACTGTGAACAATTAATTGGTGAAGGTCATTCCAAAGGAAAAAAAATATTTATTCAAAATTTGTAGTCAAATGTAGTTGCTCTTCATCGAAAATGTCTTTTAAACTTTGTGGTTTCACTTGATTTTTTTTAATGAATTTTAAAAAATTCATGGGGCAGATCATTTTGCTGGCCAGAGTTGTATCCATCTTTGTGTGTGAGAGTGAGAGTGTGAGAGTGTGAGTGTGAGTGTGAGTGTGAGAGTGAGAGAGTGAGAGTGTGAGGTGAGTGAGTGTGAGAGTGAGAGTGTGAGTGAGTGTGAAAGTGAGAGAGAGTGTGAGTGAGTGAGTGTGAAAGTGAGAGAGAGTGAGAGTGAGTGAGTGTGAAAGTGAGAGAGAGAGTGAGAGAGTGTGAGTAAGTGAGTGTGAAAGTGAGAGAGAGTGAGAGTGAGTGAGTGTGAACGTGAGAGTGTGTGAGTGTGAGGTGAGTGAGAGTGTAAGTGAGAGAGAGTGAGAGAGAGTGTGAGTGAGTGAGTGTGAAAGTGAGTGAGAGAGAGTGTGAGTGTGAAAGTGAGAGAGAGAGTGAGAGTGTGAGTGAGTGAGTGAGTGTGAAAGTGAGAGTGTGAGTGAGTGAGAGTGAGAGTGTGTGAGAGAGTGAGTGTGTGTGAGTGAGTGTGAGAGTGAGAGTGAGTGAGTGTGAAAGTGAGAGAGAGAGTGTGAGTGAGTGTGAAAGTGAGAGAGAGAGTGTGAGTGAGTGAGTGTGAAAGTGAGAGAGAGAGTGAGAGTGTGAGTGAGTGAGAGAGAGAGTGAGAGTGTGTGTGAGTGAGTGAGTGTGAAAGTGAGAGTGTGAGTGAGTGAGTGAAAGTGTGAGTGTGTGTGTGAGTGAGTGAGTGTGAAAGTGAGAGTGTGAGAGTGAGTGTGAAAGTGAGAGTGTGAGAGTGAGAGTGAATGTGTGAGAGTGTGTGAGTGTGAGGTGAGTGAGTGTGAAAGTGAGAGTGTGAGTGTGTGTGTGAGAGTGAGAGTGTGAGTGAGAGAGTGAGAGAGAGTGTGAGTGAGTGAGTGTGAAAGTGAGAGTGTGAGTGTGTGTGTGAGTGAGTGAGTGTGAGAGTGAGAGTGTGAGTGAGAGAGTGAGAGAGAGTGTGAGTGAGTGAGTGTGAAAGTGAGAGTGTGAGTGAGTGCAAAGCTTGCAGTTCGTCACTTCCGCCAAAACGGCTCAACGATTTTTTTTTGACGTCACATCGTATGTACTTCAGCTTCTCATCAAACTTTCTGTCCAATCAAATGCTCTCTAGAATCCGAAGCGCCCGCCCCCTACACTATAAAATAGACGCTGAAGCCGCGGCTGAAATCGGTCACTTGTTCACAGAATTAGTATTATTTTCTGTACAGTGAATGGCACGTAGTGCACTATATAGGGGACAGGGAACGATTCAAACAGTGTAAATATGCTTTCCATTGAGGAAAAAAGAAGTCTGGTTTGGCGCTGTGTCACGCTAACCACCGCACCGCACACACACTCTGCTCTGGTCCAGAGATGCGATAACACAGAGCGGATCACATGCGAGAGTCGACGCAGACCACAAAATGTATCGGAGCTATTTGAATTCTACACAGAATGCTATATTTTACAGCAATATGGATGAGATTGTCATACCCTGTCAAATGCGGCTTTACGGAGCTCAACGGCTCTGAACAGCTCTAGCCCAAGCTGTGATGTAAACGAACGCTATTGGCTATTTTAAAAAGAGGCGGGGCTGCTTTATGTCCCGCCCTGTCTTCCTGTTTCAGTTAAAATGACGTCAACACATAGAGTAACGCTGCGTGTTTCTAAGCATTTCAGGGGACCTTTAAGAAATATCTCTGATTATTATCAGTGTTAAAACAGTTTTTGCTCCTTAATATTTTGTGTGATTTGAAATAATTTTTTTGTAACATTTTAAATGTCTTTTCTGTCATTTTTTATCAATTTGAATGTGTCCTTGCTGAATAAAAGTATTAATTTCATACTGATCCTAAGCTTTTGAAAAGTGGTCAGTACTTCTCACATTTTTTCTTGTTGTGGTGATTGTGTTCACTTCCGCTTAATGTTATCCATCAGGTATTGGGAAACACACATGCTCTCTCAGTGCCTCATCTGTTAGTCATAGTGTAGTGAGGGGCTGCTTTCAGGTCGAATGTTTTCCAGCACTTCTTCCAGAAGAGAACACTCATCCTCTCTCTCTCTCTCTCTGATGTAAATGGCTTTCAGAAGAGAAGAGATATTACAGGCATTTCCGCTCCCTGCTCACAGGAAGGCCTCATCTTTCTGTTTCAGACACGAGAGAAAGAATGAGATTAAGAAAAACAAAACGCATTTGGAGAGAGTCATTTTCATAAGAGGGATTACTTTGCATTCTGCTATGATTCTGCTCTTAGCAAGTTCTGCACAGATGTTCGACCCCTTGCTTGTCTTCAAAATTTGTACAGTGTGTAAAGCAACAAAAAACTATTTTGTTTAATTGTATTCTTAAACGAGTTCAAGAAATGGGAGGATAGACCGTGGCCAGATTTAGACCTTGTGGTTGCAGACTAAACCAAACGTCTGGAAGAGGAAAACAGATAGCCAGACATTGTGTTTTTCTTCTGTACTTTCACATTTTCTTCCCAAACCTTTGCCAAAAGCTCATGCATTCAAACACAACAAGAGCAGGTATTCACAACTACTCATCTTGACTGAAATCTTTTGTTTTTCTCTTTTGTGTGTGTGTGTGTATATGTATGTATAAACTTAGTACAAATATATGTGCCACATTCATGGAAATTCCTTTTTTTTTTTTTTTTTTCTCAACAATATTTTCAACCAAAAGTCATGATTTAAGAACATGTGTTTCTTGTTATTTGGTTACACTACTTCACATTTAATATGTGTAAAATCTTAATTATTGTTTAAAAAAAATGTGACAATGAAGACTGGAGTAATGACCACTAAAAAAAACTTAGCTTTTAGTTTTTGTTTTCCAGCATTTTTTTTCAAATGTTAGTATAATTTTATTAAAACGCGTTACTTAATTACATGGTGTTATTTTAAAGCAATATATAACCCCCCCCCCCCCACACCCCGCACTTCCTCACCCGA